CTATTTTATTGCATGAATATTCTTTGGTTAAGCCCCCTCCCCCAATCTGTCCTGAACATGAATAGACTGAATGCAACATTTCTCCTCCAGACAGAATATTAAACACAATTAATGACCGTAATATATTGTCTGGATCCTGGTGCAGATGGTTGGTAATGAGGTAAAAGGGAATTGTTAAGCTTCAATCCTGTGGCCAAAACATTTTTGGAAGTTGCATATTTGCATGGAAATATAATTTACAAATCAATACTAAACTATATACTAAATTTTTAAAATCTGGAAAGGAATTACAATGTCATGATAACTGCAAGCTTAAATAATCCCCTTCTGTGAAAAGCTTCCCAAATGGAGAATTTCTTCATGCATGTTAGAAAAACAAAAACTGGATGGGCCTCAGTGGAAATGGTTTATGAGGAGTTTGCTGCTTTTGCTATCCAGCATAATCTCAATTAATATTGATATTTGGGGAGCAAAGGGTGCTGTGACTTCCAATATTTGGGTGCAAAGGTTTTGATGATGGGAGCGCCCTGATAGTGCAGAATATTAATCTTATTTTTGATGTTGTATGTGATGAAGTAGACTTGAGTCTATGAAATCCTATCCTACCAGCCTCTTTCTCTGAGTTCGTTTAAAGATATTGCAAGATCCTTTTCCATACTCATCCTGTTAAAGTATATTGTTTTCTTTAAAGCAAACCACTTGTTACCCAAGGATTTGAGATATACACAAGAAGTATTTAGTTGTTACCTTTACAGTTTCTTGAAGCTTCTAAAACTCAAGAGCTTTATTTAAAACATGAATGAGAATATATTGATCTGGTGAAAGAATGAATAGGGGCAATTGATTTGTAAGCTCACATGAAAGAGATGTAATTTTTAAAGGAAGTGTTGAAACGAATTGATCACATGATTAATTTATATGCATCTAGACTGGGGAAACAGTTCCATATTTTAAAATAGTGAAAAATTTATATCAGTATAAATGGCTGAGAATTTCAATGATTTGCAATTTAATACTGGCCAAGTCCAATCAAACTCAACATATTGATCCCAAACTTGATAGAAAATGACTGAATCAGTAGAATATTTGTTTCATAACACTATAGCACTGTGATTAGATACTGTACCTTTTTTTTGAATATATGTAATTTTATATGAGGTCCATGAGGTCACAAAGAGTCGGAGACGACTGAACGAATGAACAACAAATATGAGATTGGATTGTTTTTTATGTATCTCAGAATGTAAACTAAGATCAATTATGGAAAGTGACAGATTGTGTTCATTATTACAGATTAACTCCCCCCTGTCACTAAGGTAGACTGGAACTTTTCATTCAATGGGATCAAAGAGTGATGTTAAATTAACAGGTGCCCCTTGGGGAAAAAATGAACAAAACAACTTCTCACTCCACCCTCACCCCCCGGATTTTATTTTTTTAAAGCCTCTTTTGTAAATGTTATGGATTTTTTTTTACCAGGGCTATACATTTCTACCCATATCGTAAAGGCTATGGTTACAGAAATACTGATATACAGAAATATTGATATAGACTAGGAAATGAAGGGTATGCAGATATCATTTATTAGAAAAGCTAGAGTGGAAAAATAGGTCAGTATCCAATAGCATTGTTTACAGTAGTGTTATATGGAAGGCATAGTCAGACATATTTTCTTACGCTACACTGTCGTGCAAGCATAAATTGGAATACCCTTCCAGGGCAGGGCAATTAGAATTTATTAAAGAGATGGTATGGGTGATATCCAGTACTGACATTCTACTCCAAATGTGCTCCCTTGTGCAACTGATACATTTCTTCTTTTAATGATATTTAAGCTATAAACCTGATTATGTGTAATTGACTTCAACTAAGTTTGATATTTGCAACTAAAAAATGAGCATACTATAAAAATTAAGGGCATATATAATTTGTAAGTTTTCTATATATTTATTTTCAGTGCAAGTGAGGTGAAGCCAAAAAGGCTGCCATTCCTCTTTAAATTAAGAAGAGATAGGCTGTGTCTTGCCATGAGGAAAGGAAAGCAACAGGATGGAACGAGCTGAGTGAGCTGGGAAAGAGACTATAAGAGCACAGAATTCTGGGAAATGTTGTTTGGGAAGGCAAGAAGCCTTATGGCAGAAAATTCAAAAGATCCTGCCCTATACTATATTTCCCAGAATTCTGCTCAGCATCAGAAAACCCAAACGGGATAGATTTGCCCCTCCTAGCATCAGTCAGAGTTCCAATACATTCTTGAGAAGAGGACAGAATGATACTAGTAAGTAAATCTATGCTGGGCTGGAAAGAAATCTCTAAATTGAAGTTCTGTTGGTTAAAGACCTTCAATGAGATAGCTATTGTGGCTTTTATAAAAAAAATTAAAAAAACTGTTTTTATCAAAACTTTTAAAAATTCCAAAAAATCAGTAGATGTATGAATATATCTTAATCTTGGGGAGAATGATCCCCTGATACATTGTGTCATTTTATCAAACATTCATGGCACTAGGTCTTGTAGTTATTTTTTAAAATGTTGTTTGTAAAAGCTTTGAAAATTCCCCAAAAATCTGTGATGAGTGATATGTTCTGAAACTTGTTGGGCTATCAGTGGTAAATGTGCTCTATAATTGTATCAAGTTTCATGCTAATAGCTCTAACAATGAGGAGGAAAGGAGCCCTTGGAGTTTCCCCATTGGCACAATTACTTAAAAAAAGTAACACAAAAGTAGTTAACTCATTATAGTTACGATACAGACCCTGTCCAATATCATAAATGCTTTAGGAATGATTTCTTCCCCAAATGCTAATTTCATAATGAGTATTGAAACTTTTTTTCATTGATCACACAGACCTAGTAAAAATCTATGGTTTAAATCAGAAATAAGTTGAGAAAAATATAACATCTGGAAAAAATCTAGTTTCTTGGTTAAGGAAAAAGCATTAACATAATGCTTAGTATTAATAAGGTAAAATGAAAAAAGTAAACTGAAGAGATTGAAAAAAGAATTTTTCAAGTTTTATATGAGAAAGAGCCCTGGTGATGCAGTGGGTTAAAGCACTGAGCTGCTGAACATGCTGACTGAAAGGTCGCAGGTTCAGATACGGGGAGAAGTGTGAGCTCCTGCTGTTAGCCCCAGGTTCTGCCAACTTAGCAGTTTGAAAACATGCAAATGTGAGTAGATCAATAAGTACCACTCTGGCAGGAAGGTAACAGCGCTCCATGAAGTCATGCTGGCCACATGACCTTGGAGATCTCTACGGACAACGCTGGCTCTTCAGCTTAGAAATTGAGATGTGCACCAACCCTCAGAGTCGGACATGACTGGACTTAATGTCAGGGGGAAACCTTTACCTTTATGAAATATATTTTTTTCAAATGTAACATCACTATTAATATAACAATTACGTTCATAATATTCACAAGTACATGTATCACACTGAAGTCTGTCATGTTAGCTGTAGTGGAATGATGAATTTCAACAATGGTTAGTGTGAGTGTTTTCCAAACCTATTTCTTCAGATGCGAATTTTCACCAGTGACTTCTACTTGGGAATGGGACGCAACTATGTTAACTGGGTGTTCTTACTTATTATTATATCATTTTTCAGATGAAATAGCCACTTCTCACATTTTTCATTAAATATGAAAGTTTGAAGTAGTTGCTCTTTGGCAGGAAATAATGTGTAAGAATCTTAAGAACATGTTTTTAAATACAAAAATAAAAGATATGCAGAATTACAGGAAATTATCTTAAAGATAAATTTTCAGGACAAACCAAAGCAAGACATAGCTTTCAAACCATATGATTGGTGGATGGAGGGTTAGGTCGATCTGGTGTAAGTTGTGCAAGTGTACTGAAAGCATGCAATTATCTATCTCTAACAGAGACATTCTATCTGTATATTCTCACTGCTGCAAAAGTTCACCCTTTAGGCATAATTGATGTTGACTAGAAAACATACAGTGGACAAACTGGAAATTGAATCTACCACCTAAAACATAAATTGGCCTTGACAGTTAGCTTGACTATAGCCAAAAGAAATATTTCTTTTATTTTTCTTTCCCTCAGAAATTCATTGAAGTGCTTCAAGCTCATAATAAAGCTTAGGTTGGTTTAATGAATCCCCCTGGCAGTGAGCTGAATGTGGTTGCAGTGGACCATGAAGCAGGGTGCTCTATCAACTGCTACCTGGTCTTGCTAAAAATTGAAATTGGATTTTTGAAGGACCTCTCCATCTTCACTGACTAAGCTACTAGCAAGGCATTTTTTTGCAATAAATGGTTAATTAGCAGTGCCTTTAAACACACAGTTGTATATTAGTAAGAATATACAGAATAAGAAAAAACCCACAAGAACTTAGTAAGAATGGTTTAATATTTTTTAGCCCTACCAAAGGCTGAAAGCCCTCCCATTCGGGAAGAGAGGGCAGTCTAGAAATAAAGTTTTATATTGTTGTTGTTGTTTTGTTGTTGTTATTCTGACACAAAAACACAGTATGTCACAGCAAATGAGTTATATATGTTGGATTTCATATCACAAAATCATAAGTCGAACACGTCCCAAGCATCTAGAACTGTGTGATGTATTTTCGAATGATGCGTGCAGATCCAAGTAAGGTGGCCTTTTGCAGTTGACAGATCATGATCTTGTCAATGTTTATTGTTTCCAAATGCTGACTGAGATCTTTTGGCACAGCACGCAGTGTGCTGATGACCACTAGGACCACCTGTACTGGTTTATGCCAGAGCCTTTGCAATTCGATTTTGAGGTTCTGATAACGACTGAGTTTTTCCTGCTATTTTTCCTCAATGCAACTGTCACCTGGTATGGCGACATCAATAATCCAAACTTTTTTCTTTTCCACAATCGTGATGTGGATTATTATTATTATTATTATTATTATTATTATTATTATTATTGCAAACTGATTTCTATTTTGTCTTTTTATGGAGAAATTAGATTAAATGCTCATTCTTTCTCCTTTTTACTTCTCTTACAGCTGGGATGATAGCAGCTCAGTTAGCAGTGGCCTCAGTGATACTTTGGACAACATCAGCACAGATGACCTGAACACTACATCATCCATCAGCTCTTACTCCAATATTACTGCGTCTTCAAAAAAGAACACACATTCCCATGTAGGTGTTTTGAATTTTCTCTTTTTTTATCTGAACAAGAATGATGAGCTGCTTCAGCTGGCAATTTCACAGGCTAACTTATCTTTCCCAGTTTTTACTTGTGTTTATCCTATCCAATTTTATTTGTAATAACTGTATGTCCTCAGTCTCCCCCAGTGCAACATGATCTCTATTTTGGCAATCCCATGATATAGGACTGTCATAAAACCACAATGAAATTGTTAATTGAATAAAGGCAAGCAAGTGCCACCTTCTGTGTATGTATCTTCATCTATCAGAAAGGACAACCTATTTCCCAATCAAAGCCTGTGGAGAGTAGTAAACACTGCTGGAGTTTAATGACACCATCAAAGTTTCTATTGATCACAGCATGGAATTTCCAAGAATCCAAAACGATGTTCTGCACTGCATTTTGTGTGTGGGTTTCTGTTAAAACTATAAAGGTGTCTGGTTTGTGGCATATCATGCTCCTTTCTCATATCCTCCAGATGAAAACCAGGACCATGTGGTTGAACAACATCAAAGTATAGTCAAAAGGATGTAGCCAGGATACAAGAGGGCAAAATATATTAATGAAGGATATTAATTAGAGAAACCCTTGGATTTATGTACTGACTGTAAGAAAGCTTGAAACCTAGTATGAGAAAAATTACGTTGAAATAAAGTGTAGGCAGTTATTTGCGGGCATCTCAGGCAATACTTCTGTTCTAATGAAAATTGCTCAGGATCAGAAAACAAAAACAAAAAACAAAAAAAAACAAAAACAGAACACATCATTAAAAAAAACCCTGTTGATGCTATTAAATTAGTGCCCCTCCTAATTTTATAATCTGTAATAAATTCTCATATGATTACTCATTCAGCATCAGTAGAAAAACATACTGTTTTGTGAAAACTAATAGAAGAAGATTGTTTCTCAGATACCATTAATGAAAATCAAGAAAACTGTTAAAATAGAATACTTGTTTCTTTTTTCTAATGACTGAAACTCTCTCACTATAAAGAATGACAGAGAAAAGGCAATTGCTGAATAACGATATCTGTATTTTTCATAGCTCAAGACTGATTCAGAGAAACGTTTGGTCACAGATGGGGAATCATGGGGCAGCAGTGAAGAACTGAAGAAGCCTGAAGAAGATTTCGACAGCAGTGTTGACAGCAGTGGGAAATGGAAGAACCACCCCACTGGACTGCTTGAAGATGCTGAGAAGGGAGGGCAGAAAAACCCTTTGACTGTCTCTCAGACAGGCTCTTGGAGAAGAGGCATGACCGCACAAGTAGGAACATCATCCAGACACAAAACAGGAACAAGTACTCTCAAAACACCCGGTAAGATAAGAGTTCAGCAGTTCTGCATGTGTTTCTAAAAATGTCCCAAGCCATTAGCCTTAGAATCTAAGATTGGGTTAGGAAAAAAGAATAATGCCATATCTTTTGTTTTGGAGCAGGAAAAGTCCACAACGATAATTAAGTATTTTTATGTAGATGATTGCTTTAATTTATTTCAAAAATCCAGAGCTGTCAAGATCACCCAGGATCTAAGGCCTTCAGGTTATTTAGACCAAGTGTAAACATATTTTGTGTATTTTTAATTTAATTTAATTGCAGTCACATTATAGGAGCTCAGTGGATTTTGAGTGTGAGGAAGGCATGCAGCCATCTCCAGGCAATGTAGTGTTAATGGTAGGAAGCATGAGAAAGCAAGGAGGATCAAGTAAATAAACTACATTTCTCAGACAAACTGTGGCTACTGACAATGTCAGCACATCCCCCCCCCCTCTCTCTTACATCACCCTGAGTATTGAAAAGAAATTCCAATTGAGGTCAAACAATCTTCTATGTATTTTTAAAATAAAAAAACACAAATCTCTTAACTTGCATGCATGCACATGTTACTGAAAATGTATTGATACAACATGGATTATTCCTGAAGCTGTCCTCTTTGGTAGGAAAAACAGATGATGCAAAGGCTTCAGAAAAAGGCAAAACTCCCCTTAAAGGAACTTCTATTCAACGTTCCCCTTCAGATGCAGGTAAAAGCAGTGGAGATGAAGGGAAAAAACCTCCTTCAGGCATCAGCAGATCAACAGCAACAAGTTCCTTTGGTTTCAAAAAAGCTGGGGTCAGCTCTTCAACAATGATCACAGCAAGTGGAGCAACTATAACAAGTGGGTCAGCAACTTTAGGAAAAATGCCCAAGTCTGCTGCTATTGGTGGAAAGTCAAATGCAGGGAGGAAAACCAGCCTAGATGGTTCACAGAACCAAGATGACGGCGTATTGCATGTGAGCTCAAAGACCACCCTGCAGTACCGAAGTTTGCCACGTCCCTCAAAATCAAGTACCAGTGGGATTCCTGGTAGAGGTGGGCACAGATCCAGCACCAGTAGCATTGATTCCAATGTCAGCAGCAAATCTGCAGGGGCAACTGCCACCAACAAACTGAGGGAGCCCACCAAGATTGGCTCAGGACGGTCCAGTCCGGTTACCATCAATCAGACAGACAAAGAGAAAGAAAAAGTGGCAGTATCTGATTCTGAGAGTGCATCATTGTCTAACTCTCCAAAATCAAGCCCAACTTCAGCAAATGCCTGTGGAACAACTCCAGGTCTCAGGCAGCCAGGCTCAAAATACCCTGACATTGCATCGCCCACATTTAGAAGGTAAGAGTTTTCCTATGGAAAGTAATTTCCACTTGAGAGGTGAAAGGCTGAGAGTGAACTTGTTTTTTTGGGTTTGAATGAGAACAGTAAGTAAGATTTGAATTCAGGCATATAGGTAAAAACAAACAGCATGAAATGTTAAATGCCCCAACAGCAAATATATTGCCCCACATGTGATTTACACTGTGACCCTTTCTAGCAAAGATGGATTTGGCCACTGTGGTTCATGCCTTAATGATTTTCCAGTTAAAGACAGCACTTCCTTGCTCTTCCACAACTCACAAAATCTCAAATCCATCTCCTTCCTTCTTCCTCTGTACATCTTTCCCAAATTTCATGCAGTCAAATAATCAAGAAGTCTCTATGAAAAATGGGATTTCGCCTTATTCTTAAAACATTTTGTCCTGTGACAAGTATTTTTTCATTTACAATTTTCTTAAGACACTTTGTCCAAAGGCAACTATAATTAAAAAAGACTAGTATCATTTGTCTGCAATGATATTTGTAAGACAACTTCTTCCCATATAAACTTGTTTGGAATTTGATATCCTTATGGGAGACCCTGTACGGTGTACTACAGCCATGGAAGGCTAGATTGATGAATACATCAGACGGGGAAGCACCTCAGTTGTGGAGATTAGGCTGACTTTATGCAACAGGAGGTTGACTCTGTATAGTTTCATATGATCTTTTGACTCCAACTGTTTTAATTATCTTTTTGTTATAAGAGCAGCTGGTCAAGGTGTAAAGGCAGCCAAGGTCACTCTCCCTTGTTTTATAACATCCCCTTCAGAGAGTGTGGGCCATGAAAATAGCAAAATTCCAGGTAGTAGGAAGTTTCATCACAGAAGATTGAATTGATATGGATTTTTTTGAACAGATTTTATTATTCAGAATATTTTATACCACCTTTTCAAGTCAGAAGCATCCTCAGGGAATTTCCACAGATGTTATCCCATGGGCAGGAGAGAAATGGGGGAAAACATTTGGAAGAGTGGGACTTGACTTACCCTGGCAAGGTCCATTTTTGGGGATGGTCAGCCATCCCATATCCTGCCTTCTTCCCACTTTCCTCAATCATTCTGTTTAATGGGTTCCATTTAGTACCTTAGCACATGGAAGTTTTCCCTTGTTTTCTCTCTATTTTCATGTGCTAGCAAAATGGAGTCCCATGGAGGCCATCTAATAATGCACGGTCACTTCTGGTGGCTGCCTGTGGGAATCTGTCTTGCCAGCATGCAGATACAAAGAGAGACTCAATTTGCAGGCATTGGGTGTTACCTGACTAGAATTGCACAATGATACTTAAAATAAAGATGAAAAGATTTTAAAAATAGCAGTAGTGCAGGAAGATGGGTTACCAGGGTGTATGTGTAAGTATGATTCACACCTATAGTCTCTCACTCAAACACAGTCACACACACTTAAAAGAATAATTCCAACAAAAGGAGAATTGACCTAAAAATTACTAGTAACATGATATCTTAAAAGCATTAATGACCAGTTCACTCAGATTTTTTTGAATTGTGCAAGTAATTATTTGAATATTCTGGGATACAACTAGTGAGGCTTTTAAGAATGCCTCTGGCAAAGTAATATGTGACAGTCTCATGTCATTGCAACTTTGTTGCCTTAAAAATATGAAAATTACAAGCATCACATGTGGCTGAATTTAAAATCACAAGCATTTCATATGTGGCTCAGTCAAAAACCGGCACATATTTGTACACCCAATTTTGGGAAATCTGAAAGAGGACCCACCAGCTGTCCTGAAAGGAGAACAGACCAGAGGAGGAACTAAATCCAGTCTTGAACAGCGGGTGGATGTCATTCTAACTGGGACTACAGCAGCATAGCTGTGGGTTAAGAAATCTCATGCAGAATAGCTATTTGCATATACAGTTTCCCACTCCATCCATCTAGAAAGATGCACCTGGAACTCTGTATCCACAGACACAGGGCTGTCACCCTAGGCTGAATTAAAGCTGGAAAAGGTTGTGTTTTGAGAACTACAGTTTTGAGCAGAGTTGTTCTCAAGCCACCTGGGTTATTCTGGCAGTTGGAGTCCAAAAATGAAAAAAGAAACTTTTCCCCAACTTCTTAATTGGGGTGGTATACTTTAATATGTTTACATGGGAGGACTTTCTTCCTTTAACAGTATTACTACTACTACTACTAATAATAACAATAACAATAACAATAAACAACTTTATTTTTATACCCTGCCACCAAAGGGACTTGGGGCGGCTTACATATGGGTCAAAATGCCCACAAAACATAAAAGCAAAACAATCCATTAAAACAAAAACACAATTAAAATAGAGCATAGTAAAATATAATAATTGAGATAAAGACACAATTAAATAAAACATAAGAATATAAAACAGCAACGTTGAAACTCAAAACAATGCTCAACAAAACCAAAACCAGTAATATAATGGACATCACCAGACTATAAAAAGGGCTGGGCATGGGATAGAGCAAAGCAGCGTACCATAAGGACAGGATATTGGATGAAGTGCAGAGAATGAAATATTATCAGGCAACCTAAGGACTGGGCATTTATAACCAGGGACAAGCCATTCTCAAATGCTAGCTGAAGAATCCAGGTTTTTAGATCCCTGCAAAAGAAGGACAGGTCGAGGGCTTGCTGGGGAGGGAGTTCCAAAGTCATGGGGCCACCACGGAGAAGGCCCTCTCCGTCATCCCCAGCAGTGTTTGTGATGGTGGTGGGAGCAAGATGAGGGCCTCCCTGGAAGATCTTAGAATCCATGCCAGTTCATAGGGGGAGATGCGGTCACAAAGATAGGCAAGACCCAAATCATTTATGGCAGTGGTGCTCAACCTGGGGTCCCCAGATGTTTTTGGCCTACAACTCCCAGAAATTTCAGCCAGTTTACCAGCTGTTGGGATTTCTGGGAGTTATAGGCCAAAACACCTGGGGACCCCAGGTAGAGAACCACTGATTTAGGGCTTTCTAAGTCATAACTTGCACTTTGAATTGGGACTGGAAACTTATTGGCAACCAGTGGAGCTGCTTTAATAGGGCCAGTCTTGTTTATTTCTTGTTTATTTCTAATGTGAGGGTAGGAGTTAATCCAACTTGTTGTTTTATATTTCTGTTCAACATCTGGATATCAAATTTACTGAACTTAGCCACTATGGAATATATACCATAGCAAGACATAATTTTCTCCAAATCCATAAATCTGCTGAGAAAAAAAGTACATTACTTTCCTGAAACAAAGCCAATGCTGCCCTCTTGTGGCCAAATGCCAACATAATTATTTTCTATGATACCTATTACCTAATATCTCACTTTCCCATATTGTTAATATTCTGCGGTGTAATCTTTAGCTTGTTTAAGACATTATGTTATAAATTCAGAAAATACTACCCGGCTTTTGGTCATAATAATGTAAAATAGTTCATCATAGTTAGAAATGGAAATGTTACACCCTTCGAAAAGAAAGGTACTGTATATTCTGGTGTATAAGACTACTTTTTAACCCAAGAAAATCTTCTAAAAAGTCAGGGCCGTCTTATACGCGGGAGTAGCCTTATGCATGGGAGTCATCTTATATGCGGGAGCACTATATGGCAACGTAGAAAGAGGCAAACAGTTGCAAGGTGCAATAAATGACAATGTACAGACCAAAACAAAGTTGTTTAGTCAGTTTAGAATAACTTAGGGCCCTTTCAGGGTGTGTGTTGGAAGAGGGGTAGTTTTATACGGTGAGTATATCCCAAACTTTATATTTTAACTGGAAAAGTTGGGGGTCGTCTTATATGCCCAGTCGTCTTATATGCCGGAATATACGGTATATTTAGAATATACTGTAGAACATGATACCTGCCAACAAACCTCTAGCATACCTCTAGCTTTGCCTTTTCCATTTTTTTTTTTGCATATTAGGAAATGTAATGTCCTAATATGCAAAGTTTATTTTTTAAATATTTTTGGTACATTAGGAAAGGAGATCAAGCTTTAAAAAGGAAATAAATCAGTATTTTTGAATATAAGAAGAAATCTGTGAGCAGTATTTGGCTGGCTCCGAAATGCTCTTAATTTCAAAATAACACATCTTGGTTGTAGAAAACATTGAACTAATTGCTGGATTTGGGTGAAAGTTTAATCTTTTTATGCAATCATATAACAAGGGATTGTTGTGCTTTTCAACTCCATGGGAAAGTCTGTACCTCTTAGAAGACAAATCCTGAATGAATGCTTTGAAACTGAAAAAATAACTACATTAGAGTAAAGCAGGTTTTAAGTAGATTTGATTGTGAGAAGCAAATTAATTGGGGACCACGGGGTATTATGTTGGCTGTTTTAATGATGTGTGTACCTTGGATTTCAGACTTTTAATATGTGAAGCCTTGGCTTCTAATGCTGACATGGTTTGTTTTCTTATAGGTTGTTCGGTGCTAAAGCGAGCAGCAAAACTGCCCCTACACCAAATACGGAAGGGGCGAAATCCACATCTGCAATGCCCAGCCCTAGCACCACGTTGGCTCGGCAAGGCAGCTTGGAATCTCCATCTTCAGGTACAGGTAGCATGGGCAGCACAGGCGGGCAGAGTGGCAGCAGTAGCCCCCTTTTCAGCAAACCTTCAGACTTAAATACAGATGTTGTAAGTTTAAGTCACTCCTTGGCTTCTAGCCCAGCCTCAGCCCACTCCTTCACATCAGGCGGTCTTGTGTGGGCTGCTAACCTCAGCAGCTCCTCTGCTGGCAGTAAGGATACACCAAGCTACCAGTCAATGACGAGCCTCCACACGAGCTCTGAATCCATTGACCTTCCTCTCAGCCATCATGGCTCCCTGTCAGGATTGACTACAAGTACTCAAGAGGTGCAGAGCCTGCTCATGAGGACTGGCAGCGTGAGATCTACCCTTTCCGAAAGGTGAGTTGATGACAGAGAGAAGTGTCTCGGCCATAATCATACCTAAGGCACAAAGGTCAAAGCAGCCAGAATGATATCTTTGAATGTGCCTTGAGACAATCATGTTATCAAACGATGAAAAAGGTCTTCAGTATAACTTTTTGGGGGCAATGGCAGCTCATGCCTTCCATATAAATGGGGGTCCCCTCAATCCACACTGGGTTTTCTGAACTTTGAAGGAGCCATCAAAGGTGGAAAATTCCCTTCCCACCTCTGACAGGGCCTTTAAATTGAGGACTAAACCCATGAATGGACTAAAACTGACAAGGAAGCCATCAGTCCTACTGATGTTGGGAGAGTCCATCCGTTTCTCTATTTATATCTCATCTCATTTTATTTGTTTATTCACATACTTATTTGTTTTATTTTTATCCTGGCTTTCTCCCAATGTGAGAACTCAAGGCAGCTGTCCTATCTTTTTTTTTTTTCCAGACTGGAACTCAAGGTAGTTTACGAAAAGGCAGTAAATTACAAAACAAGCAGATATAGTTAAAAATACAGAAATTAGTATTAAATAGCAGCAGAATTGAAACCATTTAAAATCTTAATTTAACACACATATTAAAAACAAGACAATGGCATAAAAAGCCCTTTTTGGTACAAATAAATTCCCAAAGTTTAGCTGAAAAAGAAAGGTCCTAACCCAGTAGTTCTCATCCTGTGGGTCCCCAGATGTTTTGGCCTACAGCTCACAGAAATCCCAGTCAGTTTACCAGGTGTTAGGATTTCTGGGAGTTGAAGGCCAAAACATCTGGGGACCCACAGGTTGAGAACCACTGTCCTAACCTGTCACCAAAAAAAGACAACAAAGAAGAAGCCATCCTGTCTTCCAAAATGTGGGAACACTCACATAGAAGGCCTTCTCCTGCATTCCCATCGTTATGCAGTTGTGTGCATACATGGAATCTCTTCCAGAACACACTAGAAGTGAACTTAAAAAAAAGAAATAGCCCTACACCTTCACTGCTCACACTCAAACTATCTAGCTCCTATCCTCAGGGGTTTTTTTTCATCATCTTTTAGGGAAGCACTGGATAGTACATTGATTTGCTAGAATTAAGTTTAGTTGTGTTGGAATTTTTAAAATCAAAGAAGCAAGAGGTTTGTTCTTGCTCTTGAAATGATGCAACTAATCACTGAAAATACATATTTGTTAGAGTAATTGAAAACAGAATTTCACAGCTCAATTAATAGCAAAACATTTTGTCTTCTGCTTTCTTGAGCTGATTAAAATAAAAGTGAACTTGTAACCAAGCTGGCAACTTTGACCACTCCATCCAATTCCCTCCCTCCCTCCTTAAATATAGATATAAGTATATATGGGGGGGGGGGAGAGTTTTAAGTGGTGGTGATAATAGTCAGTAATGGGCATGATAACTACACTATCTATTCTCCACATATCTTCTCTTGACCCACTGTTGTCATTTCCTATTCTTGTGTGGGATAGAAGAAAATAGATTCATAGAAACATAGAATAATAAAGAGTTGGAAGAGACCACATAAGCCATAAAGTCCAACCTCCAGCCATGCAGGAAAAGATTCTTGACAATACTTTTGATAAAAATCATGCTATAGAACCTGTATACAGAGAGCTATTAGAAACCAGTCCCCAGAGTTGCCATCCTGTGGTAGGCTTGATCCCATGCCATCCGTGTGATGATCCACTTTGGTTCTCTCAATATTGCTTTTTTCACTGCCATGACAAGTCACATGAATTCATACAATTCAATGTAGGCAGCATCTTACTTAAATGTATTTTGGTTTATTTATTTATTTACTATATTTGTATACCACCCTTCTCAGCTTTTAGGTGACTCAGGGCAGTTTAGCATAGGATATCATTATCTCTGTTACAAATCTGTTTTCTAGATATAACATCAACATTCTATCAAACACAGGATGGAGATCATCTCATTGCTCAGCAAGAAATGACCTGTGGTATTAGTGTATGAGCTATGAATCTAATTGTCAGTCTTCAGTGTCACTAGTATTCTTATCATCTACCTAATAAGATATTTGATCTTTTCCATTTTCTCCACCAAAAGACAACAGCCTATTCATTGAATAAATCTGTTGCATGGTTCATTTAGTGAATTCAGCAATCTCTGGCACCTTAACATGCCCTGTATATCCAGCAACTTTAATATTTCAGTTGAGGTTTCTATATCAGTGTTTAAAGCTGTAAGAGATTCCTGGTCTAATCAATGCTTCCTATTTGAATTATGTGTGTTATTTGTTCCCACAATATATCAGCTTTCAAACTCTGTTAATTGTGGAGTTGGTACAAGCCCCTATTAGTCAAGAAGGCCATAAAATAATGTGCAAGAAAGTCATGACTTTTTACTTTGTCAGAACAAAACTTAACTTGGCCTTCATATTGCAAACAATACAATCTATAAGGCACATTATTAGGGTTTTTTCTGAGTGAGAGAATGACAGCAATATCGGATCATTCTTATGAAGTGAAGTTGATAACAGCAAGAAAATTCTGAGCAGAAGCACAGCAGTTAGCAAAGCAGCATATCAGCACATCCATATGTTTAGTTGATAGTTTTGATGCCTTGTAATGGAAGTGTTCTACTAGTATCTGACAAGAAGACAGGAACAACATTGGTGATTCGTCCTTTAATGGTGAGGGCTTTTTCAGTGAGCTATGACAGATTTGACATCTTCTATCACACAGCTGAAGCATTAAAGACTGCATGCCCTCAAGCAAAGTTTACATTTTAATCCCACCAGAAGACCACAACATTTTCAAGTTTCCCCAGCTGCTTCTAACAGTGTCTGCAAAATTCACTATTCCATTTTCAGTACTCTCATGTCTTGGTGGGTATTTGTGGATATTTTATAAGCAATCGCCATGGATGCACATACCATAGTCTGCATCGGGTGTGGCATTGAGTTTTCCAACCTGTTACCTTCTGGCCTAGTCTGTTCCACTCAGCTTTTAATTCATTTTTGTATGAAATCACCAACCTACTCCAGAAAAGTGTACTCTGGTCTACACAGTAACTGAGTAACTGAACATTTGTCTGCAGTGACCTATGATGTTTGATCTGACTAACAATCTAAGTCATTCAGAGGTTGACTTGCATATGTGAATGCTGAGTAAGACTCATTTCTTTTTAATCTGTGTGCCATTGTTATTACATGCATCCCCTAAACCTTTTCTTCATTCTCACAAAAGGAGGTGGAAGCCAAACAAAGTTAAATAAGATACGTTTGTTGCATTCTATTAAAATAGTAAAAGTATCTTGCTCCTAGTAACAAATGTTAACACTTATGCCAGTGTATCACCATCTTTCTCTGTATACCTAAATAAATCTTTTCTCCTAGCCAATTTATCATACAACCTCCATATAATTGCAGAATCTTACAGTCCTAGAATTGTAAGGGTCCATGCAGAACATCTAGTTCAATCCCTTGCCATGTAGCAATACAGAAGACACTCTAAGATGATGTCCTTCCAAACTTTGTTTAAAAATCTCCAAAGATGGAAGGCCCACTCCTCTCTAAGGCAGTGGTTCTCAGGTGTTGTGGCCAGTTTAGCAGCTATTAGGATTTCTGGGAGTTGAAGGCCAAAACATCTGGGGACCCACAGGTTGAGAACCACTACTCCAAGGCAAACTACTGAAATTCAGCCCTGAACTACAGTGTAATAGTGAGAAGCATGACGTTTGTAAAGTACAATTCAAATCTTCCCTTCCATGTGTGAAATTAGATATGTGCACCCAAGCAGAGATTCTGCTAAATACTTGGAAATATTGCTGCCGGGCATAGATAGCAGATGAGTCACCATTAGGAGTGGGACCCTCAGCAGTGCTTTGCTTCACACATGAACAGAGTTGTGTCACTGACATCATTGAATACAGCAGGTACAGGTTACCCAAAATGTATTTGGTATAGTTGTGTGGAGACTGTCAATACCAAGTCCCCTTTGGGGAGAAGGGCGGGGTAGAAATGTATGAAATAAATAAAAATAAAGTCATATGAAAAAAAGTTTGGACGTTGAACATAATCCATTGTCCAAACCCCTTTTAAAATTTAATAGCTTCAAAATGGCCTAAGGAATCCTTGTGACATGGAGCACATCTACACTGACCAGTTAAATCAGTTTCAGACTTGTATTGAATAAAGTGGTTTTATAATTGCATCCCAAATCCTAGAATCAGTTTGAGACCTGAATGGTGATTACACAAACCACAGAGCACTGATGCATATTAAGGGCTTTCTTTTACATGCTTTTGTGGGTATTTGTTGCCTAGCCACTGTAGTTTGATGCTAGCTTCAAATTGCATTAAATGGCCAGTGTAGATGCAGCCTTACAGAATCTCTCCAATGCTCAGGAGAATAATGTTTAAGGAAGAAAATCAAAATAGCACAGGTAACTGGAATATGGTAAGTGCCCAAAGTTTACAGTCTGAATAATTCTAACGAAGAGTTGAACAGTTCAAATTATCTGATAACTAGGGATAGTAAGGGGAATATGGTTATGGATATTGATGTAGCTTCTCTTTCTGCTGAAAAGAAAGGGCAAGCCAATCCTTGCAAGGTTTTTCATACTTTGTTTTTTTTTCTTTGTGGGATATATTTTAAAACATACTTTAAAATAACTCCAAAGATAATTTATTAATAAAAATAGACTTTTTAAAGAACTTTACAGTTTTGAAGCATTCTTTTTGCTGTGTGTCCTTAGGGGTTTTCTTTGTTTTAACAGCATGCAGCTTGACAGAAATACACTACCCAAAAAGGGATTAAGGTATATGATATTTTTCAGCATGACTGCTGTTTCTCTGTTATTCTGTAACCCTTTTCTATAATATTTCATCCTTTTTCCTGTCACTGTGTACCCTGTTTTTTGAAGAACACAATACAATTCCAATTTATTCTGAGCAATCCTTTAAAAATGTTCTCTTTTACTTTGGAACAACTGAAATTGCTTGTCTATTGTACTAATTGTGATTTTGCATTTCTAACTACTTCAAGTTCTCTGTTTACATTGGAAGATTCAAATTGTTGCAAACGTATTTCTCCAAAATCTTTCGGAACCAAATCCAATAACAATATTTTTGTAGAGTTTTGCAAAAAAATTAAATTACCACACTCAAATTTTGGGCAGAACAAATCCCGAGCTGCAAATAGTGTTCAAAAACAGCAGTTTCCACATACTTTATCACATCAGGAAGAAAACTGGTAAAATACCCTTTGCTTCCTTTGAGAGAGAAATTAGAAAAGACTGACATCCCTTCTAAAACAAAATTTAAGATTCACAGAAGAACAATACCTTTATTGGGCAATCAAAATACACACATAAGCTTTTGAAGCTCCACTGCCCCCCTTCTTCAGATGAAGATAAAAAAATAATACAAGACAAGAAATGTGATTATGCTAGAGTCACCTAATGTACATATCACTTCAGAGTTCCTTCTGCTGTCAGTTAAGATGGTCTGCAGAGATCTCAGTGCAGACAACAGCCACTTGCTCATGTGGGAACTAGGCACTAGGTAATCAAATTTTGACTCAATTAGTAGCACAAAGGTAACTTCCCTTTACCACGTGTCTATGTTTCTTGCCATCCTAAAGATTGATATCCTCTAAAATGCCACCTCTTATCCAAATCAAAATTATCATCTTTCTGCAACTTTAGTCTTTAGTCTTACACACACTGAATTAGTATGGTTATTACACTGCCTAATACCACCAGCATTGATATTTTCAGGGGGGAAGATTACAAGTCCTTTCTGTTCTACTTGTATTGTAACAAACTGAGTTGTCACTCTACTGATGCAGCAGTTTAAGATCAGGTTTACAAGAGTGTTTGGAAATTAAAATGAGAGAAATTGTTTCCAACTTCCATCCTTGCCCAATACTTAAAAAAAGAAAAACCTTGGGCAGTAATTTTGGTTATAGTGATCTCAGCAGAACACTTTAATATATCTTCTGGATTCAGAAGATTAAGATGGTTCTTTTGCACTCATCAGTTTTTCCCCCTCCATCCTGTTGAAGTTTGGGCATTGCCATAAGAACTACTGAAAGAAATAAAAGATAAGCAGCATCTCTTATTGGGTAGCGATTACTTTTGAATAGTTCTTAAAAACCTATTTCATCCTTAGATCTTCAGAATGCTCTCTCTACATACCACAAATGATAATGTTCTCTAGATTCATAGGTTGACATTTAGTAGCAGATTTTCCTATGTGCTTTTGAAACACTGAATATCTTTACGAAAGAAAGTACAATTCTGTGAAAAAATTACACTTTAAAAAAAACTGCACATAGCTGATCTCTGTGAATATTTACTCCAATTCAGTTATAGGTTTTCCAACTAAGTTTTAGGCTCAATCTGTTTTCTTAGGAAAAATAGAGAGGGATTTAATCCAGAATTACAGAGTTTAGATTCCTTTGATCCTCTTTTTTGTTCCCATTCTATGGGTATTTTCAGAGCATAAATGGGTTTGAACTACTATTTCCCAGAATCCCCTGAGCAACATAGCTACAGATTAGGTTCTATCAAATCCCAATTTTAAAAAGCCCAGCTATCCAAGCAGAATGTATAGATTTGGGAGTAATTTGGGTGGGCTGACACAGAAAATGCAAGCTCTTGAGATGAAACCTGAACTGCCTGAAATGCCTGCACATGCTAACTTGCCAGCTTAATCCATTCAAGAATTTGCCTTTCTCAGTTCCTGCCACACAGTCTGGCCAGTGAGCTGTAGTGCACTGCTGCAGTTACATTCTTGTCTTTGGCAAAAAGTCAGTGAGAGATTTGGTTTCCAAAGCTTTTGTTCCTGTGCATATTTCTGTATATGTGAGTATCTCTTTTTCTTGCCTTAAATCTATCAGTTGTATGTGAGAGGACAGAGCAGAACAACATTCTGAGAAACAAACACTGCACATTGTTCTGCTAGAAGTGACTAACAAATGAATTAAAACTTGCTATACTGTTCTCTCAGTTTATCTATATAGTATGCTCTTTTTATCATGTCCAAATTGATCACCTGTCTTCATTTACCAGTCTATCATTCTTGAGCTCTGTTGTTTGCCTGACAGTCAATTTTATGCCTTTTCCTCTCCTGTGCTGGATTTCACAACCTCTTCTTAACACCCTAACAGCTTTCTTTTATGTCTTTTCCATCATACACAAATTGATCTTGTTTTGTCTGTCTGTTTCTTGGAAGCCAAGCAATCCTGTTCAAAATCAGCTGAAACTACTATATGATTATACTAGAGAGAAACTACTAACTTTTTCTTCAGAATAGTTCACGTGTATCTCACTTGTGGAAGTTTTAAGTCTGCAAGTGGTGGTGTTTTTCAGGTATACACCATCCTCTCGGCAGGCCAGTCAAGAGGAAGGGAAAGAGTGGCTACGCTCCCATTCTACAGGAGGTCTGCAAGATACTGGAAATCAGTCTCCCCTGATCTCTCCTACAGCAATGTCTTCATCTGCAACTGGAAAATATTTTTCCAATTTAGGTAAAAAACAAAATAATTTCAACTTTCCCTAGAAGTGCTCATTTTGTGCAAGCAAGATTTGTACAGAGGAACATATTCTTCCAACTGCCTTAATCATGTACGCATGTTTTTATGCTCATATTATGTTGAAACATAATATGAATATGAGTTACTTCTTTGAACATTTACTGGGTGTGGTTTTTACTAACTTCAATTGGCTGGATTTCTGGAGAAGGGATAGTGAATATGCATCCTTTAAGGTGTTGTTGGCCCTTCCTTTTCCAGTAGGCCTTGATAGCAGAGTGAGTGCTGATTGATTCTGGGAGCTTCAGTCCAACATAGTCTTGAGGGATGTGTACTCCTCACCCCCTGCTGTAGCAGATTTCTTTCTTTCTCTAATCACTCTGAAATATACTATGATAATTTCTGAAAAAATAAGTACTGCATTCAATTTAAAAGTTCTGAAATCCTATAAGGACACTTTGGAAACTGATAGTGACAGTTTGAACATTGATTTTGTACAGTAAAAAGCCAGAAAGATGGGAGCATATCTACATTCTAGCTCTCTCTGTAATTACAGGTTGGTTCAAAAAAGTATATTAAAATGGGAATATATTCTCACTTAACCAATCTTAGTAGCAAATAGTCATCATGAGTTCGTCATAATTTTCCACCATCTCTGTAATGGCCATTAGGTTTGTGCATTTTGGCTGAACCTTGATCCGTAGTTGCTGGTCAGATACTGGTTGGCTCCTGTATCTGTTTTTGCATGCCTCCCAAAAATGGGTGCACAGCCGGATGGACGATTTTGAACCATAGCCAAAAAATGTGGCTAGATCTGGCCCATTGGTGGCAATGGACGGGCTTCCCAGGCTCCACTTCCCATCATTTTAGGCAATTTCATCATTTGTCCTTATATCCTTCATTAAGACCTGGATTTAAGAGCATTAGAGTTGAGATACCACTCTTTCTGGAATCCTTTCCCCTTGGTCTGTAGAGGACACCTGGGTTTAATGTTTCCTTAAAGATGTTCCTCTCTATAGAAGACAGGCGCTGCAAGTACGCACGCCCTCTCCCTGCACACAGCTTTCCAAGGCATTTTAAGGAGGCTTCACACTTCCCAGGGAAGGAAGAGCAATGGCCTGGAGCTATCCTACCCTTTTCTTTTAAAAAGCCCTCTCTTTTCTTTTGATTTACACTGCAGGCACTACATGGAATGGTGCCGTTCCCTCCCTCATGCCTTTCTGCTTTGGGTTTAATGGTTTCTTAAAGCTGTTTTGACTTTCTACTGTAGAGGAGAGGCTACTAGGTGGTAGTAGTTTTCTGAGAATGAGGCTTTTCTTTTTATTTGCTGGGATTACTATTATTAATAATAATTATTATTATCTTTTAGAAGTATTTGATGAAGGAGAGGGAGGGAGAAGAAAAAGAAGCCCCCAAATGCACGTGCACACCCCAATCCACCCGTCCTGCACGTTCCCAACTTTCAGTCACTCCCTCTAAATAAAACCAATCAAGAAAATATGGGAAAATCAAAAAGATTCGAGAGAGAGGCCAATCCAGAAGCCAAGCCAAAATGCCAGGATGTAACTAAGATGTCAAATAGGGGAGAAGGAGCCATGATTGGCTGCCATGTGGTCTTGTTATGTACGTGGAAATGTGATAGCTGGGACCTTGTTGTTATGGCCATTTGGCCTCAAACACACCAGATTGGCCAAAGGGAACCAACCAATCTGAATCCATGCACAAGCCTAATGGCCATTTTTCTCTTTTGACTTGTTAAGGGAAATGTACTTGTTCCAGTTTCACTTAGAATTCTTGAAAAGTTCTTCATTGCCATTGCTAAATGTAGTTTTTTTTTAAAGTGATCTTTTTATTGACCTGGTCATTAACTTTCCACTCTTTTCTTTTCTTTTTGGGGGAGGGGGTTGAAAAACCCTTAGGATTTGATAAAGGAGTAGCATATAGCATGGGAAATTCCTATAATTTCAATAATTCAATTTAGAGAACACTTATATTAACTATAAACTATTAACTGTTTCACAAGTAAAGTACTTTCACTTTTAGAGGTTATTAATTACAAAAAAGAGTATCTACATTATTTGTAACTTGTTATTTGTGGACTCTATTATAGATGTTTTGCACTCTTGCTTCTAATTGAGATGTAGACAATTAAAATGTGACTTTAGAAGAAATATTAACAAATTTGTTTTTCTTAAGGGTTGTCTGCAATACAGGTGCTTATTGGAAACATTTTCCTTCAACCCAGTATTTATTTTCTAGACACGCCATTTTCCTATTGAATTACATAACTTTTTTTGGTGCCGGGGAGGGGGGGGGGGGCTCTTTCAGACATTTTTATTTGATACACAGACAGAACTGTTAGAAAGGTCTTGGTCTACCACATCAGTTGAAAGTATTTGACAGCCTGAAAGCAGACAGATAAATTCTGTATTCCTTGGCCTTAATTCCACTCCAACTAGGAGGGCTGAAAATGTTCCATGAAGGTTTTCTTAAAACTGATTTTCCAAGTGAATTTAGCATTTGAACTGAAAAGAAATCAGTTACTTCTCTGTTAGACAAAACCTGCATGTAAAATTCAGGCTCCCACTTTAACTGCAAACGTAAGTGGAGGGACAAACAGTAAAAAGATACATTTTATGCAGTTATAATCTGGACAAAATAATTATCATACAACATTTAAAATAGCTTAATATTTTAAAAGATATCTGTTTTAACTAGGGATGAAAAAATATTCAGATATTTTTATATTCATGATAGAAAAGGTTTCCTAACATCCCATAAAATGGGGTCAATTGTGATGAGATTCATTTTGAAAACTTGAAAAATTGCACAGAGAATATTTTCATAGGAGACAGCATACTTTGCAAAAAAAAAAATTTGCACAAAAGTATTTTTTTCTGAAAATGAAATTTTCAGAGAAAGTTCTGAAGACAGTATGCAAACATTTATTTTGACCAGTAAAGAAAGAGCTTTTGAAAGTGTTAATTCTTGCATTAAAATATTTTTTTTTCTGCTGACGTATAATGTTCTGTTAAACACAGTTTATGTTTGCTATTGCAGTGAGTCCTACAAATTTGTCTCAGTTCAAACTTCCTGGTCCAAGTATGATGAGGTCAAACAGCATCCCTGCACAAGATTCTTCTTTTGATCTCTATGATGATTCACAACTTTGTGGTAGTGCAACATCCTTAGAAGACAGACCACGTGCAATCAGTCATTCTGGTTCATTCAGGGATAGCATGGAAGAAGGTAAGAATGTGTGATGTGTGTTAAGCAAAAGATACTTTCAAACTTAATAGAAAACCATGGTTTGTGCTAACTATAGTTAAGCAGTCACACCATAATTAGAGCTTCATGATGTGCAACAGTCAAAGTGGACTTTTGAATTGGTAATTGGTTTTTACATCTTGTTGGTTCATAATTCCACTTCCTAAATTCACTTCTACCTGCATAGTACAACTACCTGTTGAGGGGGAACAACTCTTTTTTCCATAAATCAACATCCAATGAAGAAAGAGTGATTACCTCAATTGTGGTTCTCCAGAGGTCTGTTTGCTTAGAGTTGCATGTTTTGGTTTGCAAACCAACTTCAGACTGTGACTTCTGATGCTGGTCTGTTGGCCCAGAAAAACCATGACAGGATCAGATTTGTAGCAACTAGGCTTGGTTGATTTTAAAAAAAGGTTCAAAACTTGTTTAGGATATAGGGGGCACTGGTGGTTTGATTCAAAAGTCACTTCTGAATTTTTCCAAAAAAAGTCAGAACTTTTCAAAGCTTCTGATACTACCAAATCACTTCGTTAATGGTGGAGGCGATTGCACAATATGCGGAAAACAGCACTGGCAATAGGGAAACTCCAGTGCCTTCTCCCTCCCTAATTTTACACCAAACTTAATGAAACTTGACATACTGCTACAACACATCCTTCTCTGTTAGCATACCAAATTTCAACTTGTTCAGATGATCTGCAGATTTCTAGGAATTTTTTAAAACAGTTTTATAAATAATTTATTAAAATTAAAATAAAAGAGCTACCTCATTGAATTTTTAAGGAAATAACAAAAGGTTATAGGGGATCACTCCCCCCAACCTTCAGACACATTCATATTCTTGGAAGGCACCATTTGTGCAACTGAGGCCCAGCAAGGTTAGAAAATGTAGCATCACCTCCCAGCAGGCTTAGTTGCATTAAAAACTCTTCATCATAGTTCTGACTCACTTCTGCATTCCTGGAATCAATCATGCAAGGCGAGTCGAAGCTATAAGGTACTACAGCCTCACAGAAACATGGTAGAAGTCCCTTCGGAAGCAAAAACATCTGATTTTTTTCCAAATTACGCCACATCGGAGTGAACCTATCCAATCCTAGTAGCAATCCATGATTTGGTATTAAACCACAGCCTAGGCAGAATATCTTAAAGGCTAGATCTGAATCAAGATGTCTATTACTTAGAAGTCTTGAACTAATTAGTGTGTTAGGTTGCCAGTTCATTAGATTTTCTGGCAATGTGGTTAAAATCATTGGAGTTTCATGCCAACACTGATATTACTCTTATGCTTTAAGGAGCCATTTATCATTCTGCCATTCTGATTACTAAGCTTTCCTAGGATTTTACTATCTACAACATTATTTTTGTCTCTCTACTGTCACAATGTGCATAAAGGTTGCTGGCTACTTGCCTGGTTAAGCTCTCTCACACTTCTTAACTACACAAAACCAGAGGTGCCTTCCTCCCCTTCTTCCAGTGCTTTGACTCTTCAGTGTGTCTACATTTGACAGCAACCCAAGCTTCCCATCCTTTTTTTTTTTACTCTGGTTACAGCAGTTCCAGCTGATTTTACAATTTAACACATAGTTTCCAACATACTGAGCTGGCCATGGCCATCTGTGCTCAGCTAGGAATATCAATATTTAAAAATCTAGGGATATTGTTGAGCTATATGAGTATAAATGGGAAACATTGATCTGATAAATGATGATTCTTTACATGTTGTGGATATACAAATTTTTAAAATGATGTTTCCTTAAAATGAAGAAACATCATGGACTTAGAGCAGGGGTTCTCCAGTTGTTTGGGTGCTCAGGTATTTGCCCCATTCAACTTAACCAAGAATTCTGGGATCTGAAGTCTCAAACACTGGGAGGACCAAAGGTTGGAAGCAATGGCTTAGAAAATAAGCGCCACTAATACAAGCATGTCAGGGAAACAAGAAGCAATATCCCACTTTATCATTTCTGGACACATGTATATGCAGATATTTCAGTATGAACTTTTTTTCACATCTCTACTGCAGCAGAAAGTTGAAGGGCTAGTGTTGGCTAAGTTATTCTTATCCTTATTTTCCTTATACTGGTCAGTCTAAATGCTGAACAGGGTATAAGGTTACAGCCTGTGCTTGATGGTGTTACAGTCCCTCTGAAGGCGCAGGTTCGTAGCTTGGGAGTGATCCTGGACTCACTGCTGAGCCTGAAACCCCAGGTCTCAGTGGTGGCCAGAGGAGCTTTTGCACAATTAAAACTTGTGTGCCAGCCGCGCCCGTGTCTTGGGAGATCTGACTTGATCTCCCAAGTCCCGAATAGATTATATCCCGAATAGATTACTACAATGCACTAAAGACTGCTCGGAAGCTCCAGCTATTCAAATGCTTGGCAGCCACCAGATTGCTCACTGGTGCGGGGTACACAGAGCAAACAACTCTTCTGTTATGCCAACTCCACTGGTTGCCTATTAGTTTCCAAGCACAATTCAAAGTGCTGGCTTTAGCCTATAAAGTCATAAACGCTTCCGGCCCAACTTACCTGTCCGAACGTATCTCCCTCTATGAACCACCAAGGATATTAAGATCACCTGGGGAGGCCCTGCTCTCAGTCCCACCTCCTTCACAGTTACGACTGGTGGGGATGAGAGACAGGGCCTTCTCCGTGGTGGCCCCTCGGCGTGGGACACCCTCCCCAATGACATCAGATCCACCCCCTTCCTCCTGACCTTTCAGAAAAAAAACTCAAATCCTGGCTTTGGGATCAAGCATATGTGCATTAGATGGATCAACTGGGAAGAGAATGTTTAGTAGACCACAAAGGACTCCTTTGGATTATGTTTTGAACCAGCAAACTGTTTTTAATTGATTACTTATAATTGTTTTAATTGTGTTAATTTTAACTGTGTATTTATTTATTTATTTGGCATCTAATGGCTGCCTGTGTAAGCTGCCCGGAGTCCCTCTTTGGAAGTGAGAAGGATGGGATATAAATGCCCTAAATGAATAAATAAATAATAAATAAATAAATAAATACAATAGACATAATTGGGTTACACTAGACATTAGATGAACTAAAGCAGTTCAGAAGTATTAAATAAGGAATAAAACACCTGGATCACCAAGAATGGTAATTGGTAAACCAATTTAGAAAAAAAAATCTGAAGCAAAGCAGTAAAAATATTTGAAATATTTTTACTGTTTTGCTTCAGATTTTTTTTTTCTAAATATTTCTTGTATGGTTCCAAAAAACCCTTAAATATGACCCAGAGTTATTCTGAGGAATGGGCCTTTCCTAATTAAATTTTCTTAGTAATTCTTTGGAACTATTTCATTTTGTTCTTTTCAACTTTGCTCCTTGAAAAAAGGACTATTTCATGTGATGTCTTTTTAGCTTTTGATCTTATATTAGCTACATGAGATAACTTTGGGGATGTTAAATGTACAAATCAATGCACCAATTTTTTTAAAACTGGAAGGCAGTAATCTAATCCAGTGGATATTATAGACTGAAGCTGAAATTAAGTTGTCTTGTTGATTCTAAGGATCAAACTAGCAATTAGTGATTGTGTGAATGGCTTTTTAAAAATAAACGGAGTGCGCCCTAGAGTTGTATGCCTGGCAAGATTCACTTTCATCGTAAAGACAATTTGGATTTCAAGCAACATTTTAGAAGTCATACATTTGCCTTGGCAAACATTAATTTGCCAAAAGGCAGTATTCAAATTGTGTTTTGCTCTCAAAGTGAGGTAAATGTTGTTTACCACTAGAAAATAAAGCACCATTAAAATCTTTGTAGCTAAATGTTTCTCTGTAGAGAAAAATCATTCTCAGCGCAAGAGGAATAACACAGTGTGTGTTTCTAAATGGATAGCCTTTATAATAGCTTTCTTTTTGTAGAAAATTGTTTTCATTTGAAAGAGATGTTCTATTATTGAGCCTGACAACAAATAACCCCTGTTGTTTCATCAATATTTTTGTAATAATGTTCTTGCTGTTTCTCTGTTTTTAGTACATGGGTCCTCATTATCACTAGTTTCCAGCACTTCTTCTCTCTACTCCACGGTAAGTATTGACAGAGCTCAGATTGTATTTGTTATGAAAAGCTTGTTAAATAGTCCCCAAAAACAAATATGAATGTTTAACGTTGGTGGGACAATGTAAAATGTGGCTGTTTGAATTTAACATCTTCTTAGTACTTTTTAAAATACCAGTGCTAAATTTGGCTCTATGGAAAATCTTTTGTGTTTTCCCTTGAAAGCCAAATTGTAAAGAATCTGCTTGAGCCCATTTGCATGCCACCTGTAGTTGTTACATTGCCATTCACACTTATTCTTTTTTCAGGGGTTTTTTTTTTGCACTTTGATAGACAGTAGAGCAGAAATTGACAACTTGCTGGATTACTTTTGCTGTGTTGAACAAAGCTTACTGATGTGTGGAAGATTACTCTGAAATTACAGTGTTGTTTTGAGCAACACTGTTTTCTATCAAAAAATGATATTTTTGGAACTAGACAGTAGATAACGTTAATTATTAGCCATATTTCTTCTCTGGAACAAAATGAAAGGTTTTTCCTATGATGAATATTAGAAGCAGAATAATATTATGGATTGAATAATTATATTGCAGTAGTTGATACTCATGAAAATATCATTTAAACATTTAATGGAAGGGGGACCTGGGTCATTTAGGACCTCATCACGTTGGGCCAACTCTGTGCTATGATGCTTCCAAGATGGAGCCAGGATGCATCCCACCAGATCCTATGTCATGTCACAGGGCTGCTTCTTTCAGGGCTTCGTGGTGGGAAGCCAGATAGTGATTATGGAAATGGGGAAGAGGCAATGTGGGCAATGTGGGGTGCGGGACGACAGTTTCCCTGGCTGCCTGCCAAATTTGTCCCGCTGCCCCATATAGGAATATAGAGATAAGGCCTCACTTTGGAGGAGGTCTAAAGGTTTTTGAAATATATTAGCATTACATGAACTGAATTAAGTTATTCAACCAAGGTTCTGATTGTGGTCATCACTTGCCCCTATATAAATTAATGCCATCAGACTGCTTTTTGTTAAACTCCTCCCCCAATTGAAATATAACAAATTCTATAAATACTAAAGTAGTGCTTTCATAATGAAATTAAGGGCATAATATAAAATGAACATTTCATATGTATGGTTTACATTTTATGATCAAACCCCACAATTTACATATTTTTATCCAAACTGCATTTGAAGTTTTAAAAGAAACTAAAATAATATTCAAAATATGGATAGAAAAATGGGAAAAGATATACAATCCAAGCTGATATTATGCATCCCAGGCTGCAATGTAACACTTTGCGATGTGATAGTTAAGTTGCTTCTCCAATAAATCACTATACTGAAAAACCCACTACACAGCAGAGAACCACAAAATATGAGGAATTTTTTCCAGTCAGGAGTAGGGCACCCAGAACTTTCAACCATATTCTATTCCCAATTACCACAAGACACCTTGTCCTACCAACAACCATGTTGCTCACTCCTTGTGTAATGATCCTGAGAATGCAACTAGGGCAAAACTTCTTTCCTGGGAATACAATCATTGCATAACCCCACTGTTCTAAACAGTATAATTGTAACTTGATTTATGATGTTTCAAATTCCAAACAGTCTTTAACAACATAATTTATTTGGCAAAATGGAAATCTGAAATATTGCACAACCCCTAATGCTACATCAGTGCAAAACCACAGAGTTCAATACAGTCACAGCTCTTGGATAAAAGATATCTCTCAGGCTTTCCCCCCTTGTTTTTATCATCCTATACCATCTGCCAGATGGTAACATTTAAATAAAATATCCAGGGTGTGGTGGATGATTGAGAATCTTTTGAGCTTCCTAAGGCAGTGGGAACTATACAATTCTTTCAAAGAGGGGAGAGGACAACAAATATCAGGGCTTCTTAAACTTTTTCAACTTGTAACTACTTTTGCCCAAAATTTATTTATGTGTATATATAGGTGTATAAAATAGGTATACAAATAAACATTGTTTAAATATCGGATGGATACAGAGGACCAATTATTGCACACCTAAGTCCCAAATACATTAAAAAAACCAGACTCCTTAAATAAAATTCAGTGGAATCTCAGAATCCACTGAGGTTGTTTGGGGTTTGGTTCCAGAACCCTATGTGGATACCAAAACTCATGAATGCTCAAGTCTAATCATAAACAAGAGTACAGTGAAATTGTGTCCCTTATATAAAATGGCAAAGACAAGCTTTGCTTTTAAATACATATATATCAATAATTTCAAGTCATGGATGGTTGAATTCATGGATAAATAGGGCCCATCCTATTCCAAGCCAAGCTCTGTGGGAAGATTAAGATTTAATCCTTGAAATACCTCCTCCCCCCCCCCCCCCCCCCCCCCCCCCCCACACACACACACATGCTAATCAGATTTCCTTCAACTCGGGATATGTTTGGCAGTAAATGTCTGATAGGGGTTTCTTCCACCACCTCCTTCACCCTTACATGACTCCTTTCTTTTCCTTGACTCACACCTTTCTCCTTGGCCTCCTCTGTTGCAGGGCTGGTTCCTTTCTCCCCCATCCATCTACATGGCTGGGCCTTTTCCCCTTCTCTTAGTACTTTGGGCTTGCCTTTTTATTTTCTTCCTTCTATGCAGCAGCAGACCCACCTGCCCTGTGTAAGAGGAGGGAGGAAGGCTTTCACACACCCCAACCATCCAGTTACACATAGTTTAACAAGCTCTGATTTATACTAGTCAGGATCTTGGGCTTTGCAGTTTGGTGAGGCACAGAAGCTTTTTGGTTGACAATTCTAAATACTGCAAACCCTAAACCGCAGATCCCAGGATCCTATAAAATGGAACTGTGGCAGCTAGAGTAGTGTTATAACTGTGCAGTATGATAGAACCCACAATGTCTTGGAATTTCCAGACTGAGTTGATTTTTTTTTTGCCATGCTGCCAGGCCAGCCAAATTATGCAGCATTATATAACAAATTACTTGCGAAACAGCCTTCTTAAGATTTCTGTATCTTGAGCCATTACATCTTCATTTCCAACCACTTGACAACTTTTCTTGTTCAGCCTCACAGTATCTAGCTGTGATAATGGAAGCTGAAGAACATGTCTGTTAAGGACAAAGGAGCTTTTGGGGTTATAGATTGATAATTTGTATTGTACTTGAAGGTCATAATCCTTAATCAGTGCTTCTCCTGCTGATTCTTGCCATCACCTAGGAATAATGCTCACATAATTATGCAGTTCGTAATCAAGAAATTGCACTCTAGTAGAAACATCAAAGAAAATATTGATATCAGTGATGTATGTGTCAAGCATAAAAACAACATTGCCTTCTCTTGTGATATTAGACGATCACTATTACTTATTTCCTACTTGCATTTTCAGGTTAAAATGTACCTATTCTGCTTCTCAGAAAATCATTATTATTATATTTATTTATCTTAGGTCTGAATTGGGTGTGGGAAGTGCACAACTTATGCATTACCCCTTTCCTAACTATTTAATTTTTTTTAAAAAAATTATATTCATCTATATATGTATATGTATATGTATATGTATTTGCCTTTAAAATTGTTGTATCATGTTGTGTCATTGTTAGACACTTATGGGGAGAAAAAATTTAAAAATAAGAATAATAGGTCAAGTGAAGTCCTGTAGCTGGAAGGGGGCAGACACATGAAGAGGGTACTTTGGGATGATACCTTGGAGAAAACAAAAAAACGAAAATGGGGGAGCAAAAAAATGAGGGTGCAACTATGACGTGGTGGCAACTATTTTGCAATGAAAATGGTATCAATCTATTTATATTAAAACGGCTTTCTCTCTCCCTGTAGGCTGAAGAAAAGGCACATTCAGAGGTAAATATTATACTACTTTAATGTTCGTGTAGACTATTTTACCTTCTTTAGACTGTTAACTTCTAGAATTTCCCAGTTAGTCTGATTCTCTGTGAGAATTCATGTTATCTGATAGTAGCGAAATAGCATCAATTAGCCCTTCAGTCAGTGTTCTATGGTATGGAAGGCTGTAGCTCATTAGTAGACCACATCTTTTACATGCAGAAAGTTTGAGATTCATACCCAAACAGAGCTAAGAAAGAATTCTATCTGATAAATGAAGGGTCATTGCTGCTAAATTATGTGGTTGGATAAAAGGTCCTGACTTAGTGTAAAAATCTTTCTGTGGTCCTATGAAGTGCAGTACACATTTCACCGGGCATTTACTAATACCTTTTGTTCATTCGGTAGAGCTCTTGAGAGATTATTCTACCGGGTATATAAAGCAGTAAATACTTACTTCAAATGCTTAATCGTATGCTTATGTATATGAGTTAATTTCATCCTTCATAAATTTTAGACAAATCCTCTTGAGGCACATATATTTTTATCTCTCACACTCTCTGTTCTGCTTCTGCAGGAGAGAAAAATGGGAAGCACAGAGAGAAAGAAATAGCAATATGCAGATGCTGTATTTTATTTGTAGACTATGCATGAGATGTGTCTACATTTATAGCTTTAAAGCATTGGATACATTCATAACTGATCAGGTTTTCAAAGGTGTCTAGTATGTCAGATTTAATATTGTCCATAGTGGAAGCAGCATGCTGTACTAGACGGGCCTGTGGTATCAGTCAGCATGGTTCTCCTACTGTTGTTTTGATTAGCGACCTCATCAGATGGGCTGCCAAAATCACCCAACATTGTCCCACTCAGCTGAGTCTCATGGGGGAAAGCATTGGCATCCCAGTTTCCCCCTGTTGACTTGTATTCAACACAGGAAGCCTCCCATGTTGCTGCAACAGCATGTCCTGGTTTGCCTCTACTTTTACAATGGAGTCCCAGTGGAAGTTGCTCTACATCATGGGATGGGAGCCACAGGCTCCATCATAAAAGTAGAGGTGAACTGGCACATGCCACTGAAAAAGGATCTCATATGATGAGGTCATAAGTATTTAATGTACTGTATTTAGCACATGTGGAAATATTGGGAAAAATTAATACCAGCTGTTTTTTCCTGAAGTAATTTAGACTGCTAAATGATTTTTGGTTAAAACATAATAGTATACAAGCATATTTTAAGTAGAATTTGTCTGCTCTTATACCCAGCAAATTCACAAACTACGAAGGGAATTGGTTGCATCACAGGAAAAAGTGGCCACCCTTACTTCACAGCTGTCAGCAAATGTAAGTCATTTATTATTGCCATTCATTACTTCTGCATGATTCCAACCAACATTTAAACCACAGTGCTCATGTGAAGATGTTCACTGGTGCTATCAATGAAAATGGAATAATAGAGGTGACCTTATATATGTTATTTATACTGTCCAATGCAGCCAAAAGATTCTCAGAACAGCTTACAAATAGTTATAAGCAGGACACAAAAGTAAAAAAGAATGATGTATGGGAAAATTAAGTCCATTGAATACTGGCCTCTCTTTTCAGAAACAAAAGCAATGGCAATAATATTGGGGGTAGGGTCCAGAAAAACAGGCCAGAGTGATAACAGCGAGAATCTGGAGGAAAGTCAAATGTTTCCTTCTCATATTTCAAATGAGTCCTTCTAAAATGAATCTACTTGCAAACGTTCAATATTGTTCTTCAAAACAGGATTGTAAATTATAAAGGAAAATGTGTTACAGCAGAACTATGATGAAAATGTTGTTTGACTTGGAGTTATGAGAAACATATTCTGAGTGTGATGGAACTTGGTTAAATTCATTAATGTCATGGAACATAAATGTGTAATTCAAGTCCTTTCAATGTTATTTTCTCTACTTCGTTAGCAAGTGGGAAGATCTTGCTATTATATTTTATTACTGTATTTATTTATACCCGGCTGGTTCTCTCTTAAAGGAAACTCTAAGTGGCTTGGGAATATTAATTATTGTTATGCTATGCCCAATTTCCCTGCACCATGAGAAATTCTACAAGCAGTGCATTTACATTGCTATGGATTTTTTTATGGAAGGGGCCACTAGAAGGTTGGGATAATTCCTAATATTTTGAATTTATTTTCAACTATGCAGACTGAACATAGATTGAGACAAACATTCCAGGTCAATATTTGCTTCCTCATTTCAGACATACACAAAGAAGTAGAGAAGCACAAATATTTGTCAGTTTAAAGAGGCTAAAATTATTTCCTGTTTCTCAGTCTCTCTCTCTCCTAACATCCTGATTTAAATTTGTGTTTATATTTTTTGTCACATAGAAACATCATAGATGTTGTCATCTTTAGTTGGGCAGGAGAAAGAAAGGCATGCTCAGTTCCAGGACCATATAGTTATTTCCTAACCATCCAATAGCACCAGTAGCCATCTTATTGGCAATTTTCTTAACAAAAGGATTTCTGCTAGGGAGGACAGTCCTTAGGAATCCTTAAACTTTTGTTTCCCAACCTCCGAAACTTATAATATAGTTATTTATACTGCAGTGCTTCCATCATAAAACATGAGATGGCAATGTCCTACATCACTTCAGGTGTAAACTGAAACATATTGCCAAGTTACATCAAAATATGGTCAAGATGTTAAAGTTAAGAGAGAATGTAGCTGTTTGCTATTATTTGAGACTACTGGGAAAAGCAAGCAAAGCCCTGAGAAAAAAAATGTCCTCTTTTATCCAGTTTCTGGCTGAATTACATAGATCTTCACATGTATGTGTGATCCTGCATGCCAGAAAACTTATTTTTCCTTCCCTCCCACTGTGGAGACTGGTCCATCCCTTTTAAAAAACCCAAAAATAGCTGATTAGATGAGTGGGCTGTCAAAAGGATGCACAACTGATTGATAGGAAGCACGAAGGGGAAGTATTAAAACTCCCTGGAACTCTTTAGTTTACACTGTATAATATTACAGAGGTTTAATAAATAATTAAGGAAGGAAGACATCCGGCAGAAGCTTTTTTTAATTCCCTCAATTATGCACTGATCTGTATATGTGCACATGCACATATACTTGTATTCATTCCACTGAAATATGTGCATATGCGCATATATAGATCAGTGCATAAACATTTTTAAAAAACCCTTCTGGCTGATGCCCCCCATCCACCCTCCTCCACACAGAACGGAGGCCACTGAGGAGGGACCAGGAAGTTTGTGTGGGGACTTGCTCTGAGTTCCCTTGTTTTTGTCCTCCTTTTTAATCCCATATTTTGGCACTGTTTGGAAGCAACCAGACAACATCCTTTGTCCTCCATGTATTAGGACAGTTGTTCCATTTCATGGCCAAAGTATCACATGAAAGACTTTCCATAGGTTGGAATCCTAAATCTTATTTCACATTCATTTAAATTATTAAACAAAAAATAGGAGAATGGTATATTTAGACCAAATTTTATTTATCCTTTTCGTTTTAATGATGGGGATTTTTTTTTTACTACTGATGTAAAAAAGTGTCAGACAAATAGTTCTATTTATTTAGTTTTATGATCAGACATTACAGATTCCCATTCAGAAGCAGGTATCTTTAAAGAGAAACCCATTTAAAACACAATTGTAAAACTATATTAGTTAAATAAAAAAAAATAAAAAGTACATAGGTTTAAAATGAATCATCCAGAAACATAATGTACTTCCATGAGACCAATTGTGCAGAAACTATGAAAACAAAGTTTTAAAATCTCACTGCCCATTTACTTTTTAGTTCTGTAGATGTATGCTACAGTGCTTATACTTTTTTATCAGTGCTAAATAAAGGGAAAATATTGAGTGAAACTATCTATAAAAACAAATGGGTTGCTTTTTATAGACTGTTGGCACACAGATTTTCCCCTTGTTTTATATATATATATATATATATATATATATATATATATATATATATATATGGGATCATAATTGTTTACTGTATTCACAGGTCATTGAACCAAACCATTTACAGCAGTGGTTCTCAATATTCCTAATGTCATGACCCCTTGATACAGTTCCTCATGTTGTGGTGACCCCCAACCATAACATTTTTTGTTGCTACTTCTAACTGTAATTTTGCTACTGTAATGAATCATGATGTAAATATCTGATATGCAGGATGTATTTTCATTCACTGGACCAAATTTGGTGCAAATACCCAATATGTCCAAATTAGGATACTGGTAGGGTTGGGGGAGGGATTTATTTTGTCATTTGGGAGTTGTAGTTGTTGGAATTTATAGTTCACCTACAATCAAAGAGCATTCTGAACACCACCAATGATGCGATTGAATCAAACTTGGCACCCAGAACTCCCATGACCAACAGAAAATACTGAAAGAGTTTGGTGGGCACTGACATTTGAGATGTAGTTCACCTACATCTACTGAGCCCTGTGGACTCAAACAGTGATAGATCTGGGCCAGACTTGGCACGAATCCTCAATATGCCTAAAATGTGAACACTGGTGGAGTTTGGGGGAAATAGACCTTGACATTTAGGAAGGCCAGCAGAGGAGGGACTTTCCCAGCTTGCAGACATTGTGGATTTATTAATGTAATCAGAGGAAAAAAAGAGAGAAATACTGAATGAGATTGATGTGGTGGCTCTCAATTGTGCCACATCAGTTTCTCAGATACTTTGAGACTGTAAGTGTGTGTAAAAAGAAAACCTCTTTATGTCTGACCATCTGTGTCCACAAACCACCAGAGGGGAGCTGTGGTGCACATGAATACGTGTGTTAAGGCTTATAGTTGCCAGGTATTTTTTATTTGAGGATTAGAAACAGGATTTGTTTACATCATCTTTTTAATTTTTGTTCAAAAAGACGCTCTTATTTTTAGCTATCTTGTCAGAAGTATACGTAATGACAAAACATCAAAGAAACATATTTTTTTCAATAATAATAACAATAATAATAATCTTTATTTATACCCCGCCACCATCTCGGGGCATCTAACATGAGGCCAAGCCCAAATAATTACAATAAAGCAAGATAAAATACATACAGAACAGACAACAACATCAAATAAAAATGCTTAACAGTGACATTGTAATGGAATTAAATAATGACAATGCCATAATAAAACAAAGAATGGAATGCTAAAAGAAATGCAACGAGCTGGGCCAAATGCAAAGGATAAAAATAGCATATTTTTAAATCATATGTTATTGTTTTTAACAGAATTTCTTGATTGTTTTTACTTGTTATAATTGTTGAGGCATTTAATTGTTGCCAATTTGTGAACTGCTCCGAGTCACCTCTGGGCTGAGAGGGGTGGTATATAAATATAGTAATTAAATAAATAAATAAATAAAACCTGTGGGTGATATAGATAGATGGATAAAGTGCTATGTCTGGTGAGACACAGCACTAACAGTAGTGCTGTTAGTTCATGTAAAATGGTTTTGGCCAATAAAATAATTTCTCTCTCTCTCTTTCTCTCTCTGTATATGTGTGTGTGTGTGTGTGTGTATATATATATATATACACACACACACACACACATACATACACACATATACATATATACATACACACACACACACACAGACAGACAGAACTGGTTGTCAATTATTTTGAAAGGCAGTGTTAATAACTTTTCCCCTCTGGACCATACTCTGATGTTGCTTGGCCACACATTCACTGCTTTTCATTTGTGAAGTGTTGAAATGTATGGTCTAAGCAAGGAGAGCTGATGACATCTATGTAGAGAGAGAGGCCTGGAGGATAAATCTTGCTGTTACCACTAATATGAGATAGCAATGACATTTTCCCCAGCTCTGCTCATTTTTCCCATTGTGAATGTGAGTGAAAAGGGCTCACATTCTCTAAATCCCAATGTTATATCTGGCATCCAATCAAATGTACCTGCAGCAGGATATCCTCCTGTCCTCCTCACATTCTCCTATCTCAGACTGGAAATGACTGCAGAATTTCCCCAATCTGRAGCTTGCCTTCCCAAGAAAAAATATATGCATGCTACATTTAAGAGGATCTTCCTGGTATTTCCCCTTTCCATCCTCTTTCTCTCTCCCCCACTCTCTCATATATATATATATATATATATATATATATATATATATATATATATGTTTGTGTGTGTGTGTGTGTGTGTGTGTGTGTGTGGCAAAAATACTGTAAAATATTGCTAAAAAAGCATACTAAAACATTTAACACTTAAAATGGGCCAGTTTACATGCAATTTAAACAGTTTTAAACCAGTCATTTATATTTGAGCAAAAGCAATCATGCCCTCAAAACATTAAT